TATATATATATATATATATATATATATATATATATTACTATACACACACACACACACACACACACACACACACTCTTGAAATCCACAAAATGAAGGCACATGCAAAGGATTCCTTATGGAGTTTCCTTTTACTGCAATAAAGGCTACTCCAAACATTCTTAACTCACAGTAACACATGACATTATATACATTCTTATTTTACTGTGCTGTATGTTTGATAACATGGATGAAAGAGAGCACTTTGTCCAGAGCCACCTTTTAAAACTAGATTGAATTCTCAGTGGATCTTAATACCTGGTATGGGGGAAAAGTCAGTTTTTCAAGAGCATATATTGTTTCACACAACGTTTGGTGTCTAAAGCATACCGGGTAGAGACTGGGAACTGGAAATGACATAAAAGTCTGCTTACATTAAAAACAGTTCAAGCTAAAATATAAATATTATTTAAAATATCCATTTAAATATAATAGAGGGAGACCACAAAAGTGGAGAGGCAATGTTGAAAACTTTATAATTTCAAAATGATCTCTTGTTTGTGAAAATGGTTATTTAAAACAGTTTACACAATTTACAATACAAACTACCCAACTGTCTCTCCTTACTAGAAATAATTGGTAATACTTTCAAACCCTTATTTTTACAATCGGATAAAACTGTTCTGTGTGTGAAAAGTCTCATTTCTAGTACTAGAAATCTCGCATCATAAAGCTATTGGTAAACAAGAATAGTCTATAGAATTTTTGATTGACAATCTTTCGTTTAAGATTAGGCTTTATGTACTCCAATTGTATTTGTGAAGTGCAGCATTCAGAAGTACTTACCATGTATGCTACCAAAATCATGTATCCAAGAGAATCCTATACCTTGCTATGTTAGTTTCTCATTTTACAATATACAATGGTAATGTGGCTATTTAACAGAGGTTAACCCACAGTAACTGTAATTGTTACTGCGTTATCATATGATCATCATGGTTTCTAATGGAGTTACAATACTAGAGCTGGGTAGACCATTCATAATGAAGAAGTTGACTAACTTATCATTTTCTGTTCACAAATTATCTACGGACAGACATTTAACAGATTAGTGTTTTATGCAAACATTTCAGTCTACTGCTGGTTTGCAGATTCCTTGCTTCTGCTATTTGCTTTCTAAGGTGTGTGATTTATCACCTCAGTCACATATATCTGGTTTCTTCTCCCTATTTTGGATTACTTAACTTGTATGAAAGGGGTAGGGGAAATTGGAGATTTTGCTGTGGCTGTGTGAAAACTTCTGCAACTGATCTTCTCACAAACACATTCACAAAAATACTTGCCAGTCTTTTTGTTTTTCATGGAAACACCTGCAGCTAAATATCATTCATACAGATTGCAAAGGCAGTCAAATGAAAAATACACCCCAGGTGTTATCCACATTAATCCATGGTTTTCACTAGAATGTTCTCCATCGCTTTCTTGAAATATTCATCTAGCTCTAGTTATTACCATAGTAGTATACAAGTGGTTTTGCAGTAATTGTAGACAATTGTCATTACTGTAGTTATGACTTTTTGTTTCCAGTATGAATAAATGCATGGAACTTAAATAAAGTCTGACAGGCTTAGGGCAAAAAGGCATCTGATTACATAATACAAAAAGGTATATGAGAGCACCCTAAAAATATTGCTAATTACAACTCAGTGTGAATTGTTTAAAAGACCTATTTCAATGTGTCTAAACATGATCTAATGTAATAGAAATATCATTCTTTATAGTCAACATTTTTAAAGGAAATTGTTTCGTATGTCAAAGGAGCCTGGTTGATTGTATTTTTCTTGGCAGTGGGATAAATCGTAATACGTTGCATGTATATATTTAAGAAGCATGGGCAGAATACTTTAAAAACAAGACTGTTTCAGGTATAAATAAAAATGTCATTACTACACCAAAGAGTATATTTGTAAGAAAAATGCGTAATTATGGTCCCATTAAATGTTTCAATTCTTATGTAGAAACAGTGAATCATCTTAACTTCCCCCCTTAAGAAAAGCATGATCAAGTGCTCCTTGTTTTGGGTAAAAAAACTTGAATGATACTCATGCAAGAAGTACTGGATGCTATGTT